AATTTATCTGGCCTTCATAAAAAACTGTTTTGTATTTCTGAGATTACTTTTTCTTTAGTGTATCTTTCTAGCCCATTCAATATTAGAAACGATTACTTTCCTCTAATGATTAAACGTCCCACAATGTATCATCTCTTATCTCCATAAGTACAAAATTCTTTCCTTCTCAAAGAATTTCAAACTAAGAAATATGTTTACAGGCAGGGAATTTAGTTCAGCGGCATAATGGCCTGCCTAGCAAGTGTGAGGTTGTGAATTTGATCTCCAGTACCAAAAAGAGAAAAATTTTTTTAAAAAGTATGTTTTTCTTCCGTCAAAGCCCTTCCATAGAAAGAAGCACGGTGGCTCACATCTGTAATCCCAACACTCAGAGGCTGAGCAGGTCATCCATAAACCAAGGACAGCCTGTACTGCACAGCAAGACCTTACCTCAAAAACAAAACAAACAAGAACAAAATGAAAAACTTTCCCAGGAAAATATTCCTGACCTTTCCCCCAACCTCCAAAACACACACAGCATACCCTTTAACAAGGAATAACACGACTGGGATATATAGCTCAGCACACAGTGCCTGCGTGGCAAGTGCAAGGTCCTGAGTTCAATTCCCAGTACCAAAAAGATATAATACTACCAGCAACATTGTGGTATATGTCTATAATCCCAACACTCTGGGAGGCTGAGGCAGGAGTATCATAGATTTAAGGCCAGACTGGGCAATTTAGAAAGATCCTGTCTCAAAGTAAATAGGGCTGAGCTTTAGCTTAGTGCAAAGGGCCTGGAGTCAATCCCTGTATAGAAAGAAGGAAGGAAGGAAGGAAGGAAGGAAGGAAGGAAGAAAAGAAAGAAAGAAAAGCAGGCACACACTTGCTTTATGTCCTCCTCATTGCTGAATAATTAGAACATGCCTCAAAAAATGTCTTACATATTTCTTAGCATTACTGCCTATAGAACCAAAACTGGAAATAATGAAAGATATTGAAAAGTAGGATCTCTAAAACAAGAGAAAACCTGTGAAATAATTGGGGAAAGCTGACCGACCCAGATGGCTCTGAGGTCTGTGAGTGTTTTACAACTGGTGCAGCACACTCTGACAACCTACCGAGCTACAGAAGTGAAACTCCCGTGGTGCCTCCCAGCTGCCACCTGCCAGTATGAACAGGTAAATAGTCTCCAGACAAAGGCAACCAAAACTGCAGTAATCTATTCAATAAAAATGATAAAACAGTACTAAGAAGCTAATATTTGTTCATTAACCTGTTTATAATCCTCTCTTTTATAAGAAACAGATACAAACTGGGCATGGTGGCACACACCGGTAATCTCAGCACTTGGGAGGCAGGAGGATCACAGTGAGCTCAAGGACAGCCTGGGCTACATGGTGAGACGCTGTCTCAAAAACACAAAAAACAAACAAAAATGATACAGATCTACCTCCGTGAGGGAAACAGGCTACCAGCAAGACTTGCTTGAACACAGGCATTTCAGGGTCAGAAGCCGTGTCCTGGAATACAACAGTGAGAACCCTCTGGCTGGGCAGCATGGATCTAATCCAGTTACTCAGCCTCCGGTTCTGTAGAGAAGTTTACTACAGGTTATGTTACATGAGCTTTCACCGTGCAAGTAAACGGATTAGCCTAGTGGCCAGATTCTAAACCAGGGCGGTCTCATGTCTACTCTCAGCTCTGCTCTGCCCTCTCATTTAAAAAGGAAAAAGAATGCAAGGAAAGAACAAACATGCGTAATGCCAATCACAAATTAACCAGCAGAACTGGTTTAGCAACGAATGAGAAACCCGAGGTCTGCAAATCTCAAAGGGGACTGGAGAGCCCTATGGGAGGTTAAAATTGATGTTTACAGGGCTTGCCTCTAGACACTTTCATGAAAACTCAGTAATAAACTCCAATACCAAATATTTAGGTGAACAAGAAAAAATCCAAAATCTTTGACTAGTTACTATGAAGTGTCCAAGAGTTTAGAAATACTAAAATCAGAAAAATATGCAATTGTCCTCAGAAATCATATCGAGGAAGAATCAGTGAGAACAGAAAGTGAAAATAATACAGGAGAAACTGCGTGTGTGTGTGTGTGTGTGTGCGTGTGTGTGTGTGTGTGTGTGTGAGAGAGAGACAGACAGAGACGAGACAGAGAACGAGACAGGGACAGGGAGGGAAGGAGAAATTTGTATAATGACAAAATAAAAGTTTTTAAGCCACTTAAATATGCACCAGATTTTTGTCTGCATCCCTGACCCTAACCCAGGGACCACACATTTTCTCATCTAAGAAAGAAGAGACAAAGAAAACTGAAAAATTCTCTGTCCCACTTGCCTCTTCAATTCCATTAAAACAGGATTCATTAGATGAAGTTTTTACCTACTGTTTCTATTTCATTGAAATAAGAGGAAAAGGTCCAGGGCTGTAGATCAGTGTAACAGCGCCTGCCTGGCGATCAGAGGGTACTGAGTTGGTTCAGTTCCCAGGAAGGGGAGAGACACAGAGACAGAGGCAGAGGCAGAGGCAGAGGCACAGACAGAGAGAGGATCCTAAATGACTCCAGCATTTAGGCAGCTCTGAAAGGAAAGGAGCATAATTAGAAAGTGAGAAGTCAGATGGAGAATGAGGCCCCCTGCACTAGGCAGCTGACAGGGACACCCACAGGCAGAGGGGACTCTCCTCAGAGCACAGAAACCACAAGGCTGTATGTGAGTGTAGGTAGCAGGCCAGGGCCACCCTGGGGAGCTTTAGCCACCTCCAGATCTGCTCTCTGACCTGTTCTCATAAACTACAGACAAAACTAAACATGAGAAGTGCTCCTAAAATGCAATCAATGTTTAAGCCAGGCACAGCGGCTCCTGTCTGTAATCCCAGCATTCAGAAGCTGAGCTGGGAGGATCACTGCAAGTTCAAGACCAGCCTGAACTACAAAGTGAGGCCCTGTCTCAAACCAACAACAACTTATAAAGGATCCAGATGGTGCTATGCTGATAAAATTGGCAGGTAAATATTTGCAATGACTAGACAGACTTCAGTCCCAAAGGAATGGCAAATCTAACTCCTATCAAAACCCTTTATTTGATGCAAACACGTCTGGGTAAACACTGTGGAAACAAACTTGGAGACACACCTCAAATCAGGACAAGGACGAAAAATAACGTTAAGTCCAGCTGTAAACCCTTCTGGTTCTGAACTGTCACAACTGTCCCCCAATCACAGCTATGTTAGTAAGAGCAGAACAAGTTTTCCCCCTGGGCCAGCATTCTTCCACAGAGTTCTAGTTCCCTGCACATCACGGCAAGCCTCAAGCTCCATTAAACTCGCTTCTTAGAGTATAAATAACAGAGCATCAAACTTGTAGATTGACATGGCAACTCCAAATGCCAAGCGCACTTTTCAAACAGAAGCCAACTTTTCCCCTCTGAGCTGTATGTGCACATGATTCTTGAAACTTCTGTGGCTAAAAAGAACATCAAACACTTAATAAAGGAACTGAAGACAGTAGAAAAAGAAAACTCTTACATTTAAGTTGAGAACTACATACTACTATCAATTTTTCTTTTTCTTCAATGAACTCTATTAATGAACCATGTTCTTGCCAGGCCTGGTAGCACACACCTATAATCCCAGCCCTCAGGAGGCCGAGGCAGGAGGTTAACAGTGAATATGAGTCCAGTCTGGGCTACACAGTGAGTTTAAGGCCAGCTGAACTGCATAGTGAGACCCTGTCTCAAGGGGAAGAAAAGCCTTGTTGCTCCTGCCCCAGGGGCTCCACTGCCCAGGGCTGGAGCAGACTCAGCGATCGGCTGTGAAGCCCTGGCACCACTCATGACGTCTCTCCTACACCTCTCAAACGTTTTTCTGACACACAGCACGAAGCACACACCTGCCACCCCCCCGCCCTGTGCCTTTCTGCAGCCTCCAATCTGCCCTCCCCCACTCTCCATTCATAAAAACCCTGCTTGGGTCACGGGACACCCAGTTTCCCATTCTCAGCTCAAATGTGGTCCAAGACAAGCTCCACCTTCCCCAAAGCAGGCGCATGCCACTTGCTTCATGCCCAGGGCTGCCACGGCACGCTGGCCGTCCCAGGCCCCCAGGGGCAGTCATCACTGAGGGGCCTCTCCCAGGGGTGAAGAACTTGTGCCTCCTTGGGGGTCATTTCTGTCCCTCAGTCACCACCCCCTAGCGTTGGGGCGCCACTCCCCGAACTAAAGGCAGTAACTAACATTTACTGCCAGTGCTGTGGCCTTGTCCTTACAGGCATCTCAGCAACAGGGCGGACGCTTCCTACAGCCTGTGTGTGGCACGTTCGCTGGACTGTCACTCCGGGGTGCTGTAAGCCGCCCCAGGAACACAGCCAATATGTGACAATGCTGGAATCTGAACCAAGCGAAGGTTGACTTCAGAAACCTTCAGAAGCCATGCTTTACGTGTTTCGTGATACCGCAGACATCCCTACAACTCACTTTTGGGTTTTTCTTTTTTTTTTTGCTGGGTGTGGGGTATGGAGAATCAAACTCAGGACCTTGAGCTTGCCAGGCAAGTGCTGTGCCGCTGAGCTCTATCCCCGGCCATCTTTGTTTTGTTTGAGACAGGGTCTCACTATGTAGCCCAGACTGGTCTTGAACTTGCAGTGATCTTCCTGCCTCAGCCCTCCCTGTCTCCAACAGAAAGGTGTGAGGAAACTAACTCCTTCTGAAAGCCCTATGAATTACATTCTGTCAGCTCATGGGCCCCACGTGGGTTCTCCAGTCCAGGAGCCTCAACAGGCAGACTCAGAGCATAGCAGATTCACTACTCTTCTCCCTCCCTGTCCTGTCTCCCACCTAGCACTTCCACCCCCTCCCCAAAGGAAATTCACAAGAAAAATGCTTGAGAAGACAGGGACAGGAAAAGCATGCAGCCCTTCACCCAGTGCAGGGCACACATGGACGGTAAGTCTGCATGTCACCAGGCGCATGGAACCTGAAAGAACTCGCTGGATCATTTCAAAACACACTCACCCTGCTCAGACCTGAGCTCAGCAGCCGTTGCTAAGAAAACACATGGCCAAATGCAAGACGATGGGGTGAGTCACGAGAGAAAGGGGCGAGCTCCAAACGGCACCACCAGCAGTCTGTAACTAAATCAGCTTACAAACACTCCTGGGTTTCTCTCCTTCCAGACCAGAAGGAAATACAAGGAGTTCTGGATGAGACACTTTCATAAAATTAATCATTACCCAACAAAGCTGAACCTTCCTACAGTGAAAAAAAAAAAAAAAGTACAGACTCCAAAGGTAACATTCTTCCAAACAAAGATCTACTAATAGACAGCAAGTTCTTACTGCATGTCACCCCCTCAGTGACTGTGAGGATATTCTGTCAAGAGTTGCTAGCAATCTTCCTTCACCGCCAACATAAAGATGCTAATAACAACACACATGCAATGGGCTGGAGGCGTAGCTCAGCAGTAGAACTCTGCCTAGCAGGCCGGAGGCCTGGAAGGTTCAATCCTAGTCATAAAAAACATACACGCTCAACTTTCAATAAACAGATTTTGTAACAGTCATTCCTTTTTTTTTTTTTTTCTAAATCACTAACTCGATTTTTTTAACTAAAAGTTGTAGCACACATTGTCCTACCAAATAATTCCATCCTTCATTGGTTACGATGTACAATAGAACTAACAGCTTAGAGACCTTTGAACTGTGAGTTATTGGAGGTTTGGGGGTAGGGGCCTTGAAGAATGATCCTGGATAGTTTTATCCATTTTGTTGCAATTTATTCTTAAGACAAAATTTCTCCTGAGTAATTAGCACTTTTAAATGAAAAATGAAAGTTAGCTAATTCCAATGGTATGACTTGTTTTTGCTTTTTTTTTTTTTTTTTTTGAGATAAGGTCCCACTCCATAGTTCAGGCTGGCTTCAAACTTGCTTATGTAACCCAGGCTGGCAGAGAACTTACGGATGATTCTCCTGCCTCAGCCTGCCAAGTGCTGGGATTGCAGGTATGTGCCACCACGCCCGGCTTCTGGGACTCATTAATTAATGGATCACACAGACATAGCTCAGCATGGAGATCTTCTAGTAAGCGATACCGTCAGTGTTTCTTCTGGATACCCCACTTGAGCTCCACCAAAGTATGAGAAATCAGTGGGTTTGTATAAATCAATTCTGCTCTCTCCCTCCAAACATAAGCATCGCACAACCCGATCCCAGACAAAATGTTATCTTAAAACTCTGAAGCAAAAAAACAGAAAACAAAAACTGAGGAGTATGCACCAATGTTACCAGAAATCCGTAACTAATTCATTAGCCTGCACTTCTAAACACTCCCAGGTTTCTCTCCACGAAGATGAGATTTTCATTCTATGGTTGACACTAAGCACACACTCTACCAACAAGCTATATCTCCCACCCAAAGGCTTTTAAAAAGTGCTATGCATCCTGACATGCCATGCGCCTCATCTTCAAACGAGACAACGCAATTATGGAAAAATAATTCCTTTTTTTTTTTGTACTGGTCCTCAAATTCAGGACCTTGTGCTTGCCAAGCAGGCTCTTAAGCCACTGAGCTATATCCCCAGCCCCTGGAATAAAATAATCCTTAAATGTACATGTAAACTGCACCGAAACCTTCAAAGCTTGTTAACACTATCCTCTCCTGCTCCCCTAAAACTTGCTTTTCAAATTAAAATTTTCCCTCAAGTACAGTAACTACATTTTATAATAGGGCACAGGTGTATTTTTTCACTATTTTGGAATACTGTCTGTAAGTACAGCAGATAATGTGATATGCATGTACATATCCCCACCATGGTAACAAGTGTATTTTTTTTTGCATACTTATTTTTAATGTCTTTTATGCCACAGGAAGAGATGTATACTTGTGAGTGTCTACATTGGTTGTTTTGTTTCACTCATATCTTTTTAAAACCTATCTTTTATATAAATGAGCTCTCAACAAATTTTATCTATAATTGATATGATTCAGTTTAAAATTTGTATCTGGCACCTTAATATCCCAGATAATTCAAAGTCCAATTATTTATGGGTGAAACGATATATGAAATTTGCTTCAAAATAATTCAGTGAAAGGCGAGGTTATAGATGCAACCAGACAGGCAGGATTTGACAATTACCGGCACTAATGCTTATGCAAGAATTCGTTTTAGGATTATCTCTGCTTTTGAAATTGTTCATGATAGAATTTTTAAAAACCAATTTCATTTTGCCCCAGTGCCGAACACAACTTTATCATTTTTAATTTGCTTCACTTACACTGCAGGTAGCATTTTTCATTAGCACTGACCACTGCTCCACATTAGTACTGCCACCTTTCTAAACCACATGTGGAGACTTCAGGAGCTAGGAATAAATCTCAGAGCCCGCCTAGCTCGCCAGCGAGCATCAGAATCACCAGATGCCCTGCCCACGCCGAGGGTTTGTATCCACAGCTGGGCCACGTGGTCTCCGGCCACACTCATAACCATGCTCCAGCTGCCCCCCTCCGTGTTGCTCTCGGTCAACAGGCATCACCCAGGCCCACGCAGTCCACAGCTGGGAGGTCTCTCGCTGCCTGCCGGAAAGCCAGTGAAGGACGGGGTCACAGACCTTCACCCACGCGAAGAGCCTGGATCCCAAATAAGCTGACCTATGGGATGAGCTGAAGGGAGGCCCATTCACAATGTCAGATAGAGAGCCACACACACTGGCAGTACCTGGAGGTACTGGTCTGGAAATGTCAACGTGACCACCGCCTTCCACCACCCAACCTGGCTTGGAGGAAGCAAAGCCTGATACCCAGCACCCAGCCTGTGTGGACAGCACTCAGCTCAGAGTCTGCTGTCTAACAGGAAAGATTGTCCTATTGCAACAATCATTTTGCTCTACAACAATTCAGTAGACTTAGCTCAAGAAAATGAACCATACTGATTTCTGGATTTCATTTCCTTCAAGGTTAACTTTACAAGCTAGAAAATACAGGAGAATCCAATAAACCAAATATGAATTCCTTTTTCCATTTAACCAGAAAATAAAATTATATAACTAATATACCTGTGCAAGTGTATATATAATATCCTTATATTATTATTTCTATCTTTTAAAAGATAATGAACTTCTGGGTGGGGTAATGGACACCTACAATCTCAGCACTCGGGAGGCTGAGCCAATAGGGTCACTGTGCGTCTAAGGCCAGCATGAGCTACACAAATTCAAGGCCAGCCTGGACTCACTACATAGCAAAACCCTGCTTCAAAAAAAAGAAAGAAAGGAAGAAAAGGTAATTAGCTACTCAAAAATAATAATAAGGCAATATAAGGTTTTAGGTGAAAAGTAAAATATGTGACAACACAAAAGTCAGGGAAACAGACACACTATTATGTGGTTTTGATACTGTATGTGATGTGGTATATTACTTGCAGAGAAATTGTGATGTGTCACAACAATTACTATTATAATAAAATGATACCTACAGGCCAAAAGAAAGGATATAAAAAGGAATTATAAAAAATCAATTCAAGGGGCTGGGGATTTAGCTCAGTGGCGAAGCACCTGCCTTGCAAGCAGGCGGTTGTGAGTTCAATCCCCGGTACCGGAAAAAAAAAATCAATTCAAAGCCAGAAAAAAAAGAAAAAGGAACAAAGAGCAGATGAGTAAAAATAGAAAACAAGATAACAGACATAAACCTAACCACATCAACTGCTTCAAATGCCCAAGAGTTTCAATTAATAGGCAAAAGCTGCCATGCAGAATAAATCAAAATGCCTTCTAAAGTCCACTCTTTCAATGTAGGCTGCACATAGTCGTGTCTTTCCGAAATAGTCTGCCAGGCATGGTAGCACGCACTTGCAATCCCAGTGCTTTGAAGGCTGAGGCAGGAGGATCTCTGCAAATTCAAAGCCACCATGGCGTACACAGTGAGTTTAAGGCTGGTCTGAACTACATGTGAGACCCTGTTTCAAAACAAGCAAGCAAACAACAAATGAAAGTAAAATCTGACTGTGGTGGGGTTAGCACACCAATAATCCCAGCACCCAGGAGGCCAAGCAGGAGGATCCCAAAGGTAATTTAGAATCGTGCATTTCTTTTCCAGTGGTAAGGATTGAACTCATAACCCTACATACCACTAGATAAATGCTCTAGCACAGAAATACGTTCCCAGCCCAAATCACATACAACATTCATGATGTTACACTGTGCACAGGTAACTATTCGGTGGAAGGAGAAAAGAGGGCTTAGCTCACAGATCATTAATATATATGAAAACAAGCCTCCTGAATGTTTTTATTTTTATTTTCTTACACCAAATACAGTGAAGCTTTGGGGAATAAGTTATTGCATTTAATTCTGGCATTATTTCTTAATTAAGATGCAGCTAATGCCGTAGTATTTTCTAATAATCATGAGGGGAAATACTCGGTCTTCCCAGTGTGGCCTATCCCTCTCCAGGCAGGAAGAAGGGCTCCCCTCCTCCCCAGTCCCGGAGTAACTGCTTCCCCCAGAGCCAGGCACAGGCCAGACTCAAAGTCCCCTCTAGACTGGCAGAGGATTGTCTTAACAGAGCGGTCAAAGGTCAGTGTCTTGGGGTGATCAGCTGGCCTCCTATCCAAGGTTGCTCTTCACCATAAAGACACTTCACGTCCCCAGGGCCCAGTGTTTCAAGCCCTGCCACAGGGTCAGTGTGTACACACCAGCGTCAGCGTGACTTTGTCTGGCGAGCATCCACGCAGTCTGACCATCACCCCATCACTGAGTTCTGCCCTCCACTTGGACAGCGCTCAGCCACAACGACCTCCTTTCCCGAGATCCTAATAATTCCGACACAGCCACGCTCTTCCCTGCCTCAGGGCCTCTGTACATCACATCCTTTTCCTGCTCTTCCACACCTGCCTCTTCTGCACAGTCCCAGGCCACCACAGCACAGCTAGTTCCTTCTCATTGTCAAGCCTTGACTTTCTCTTACTCACTGAGACCAGGTCTCACTATGTAGTCGAGGATGCCCTTAGACTCAATATACAGTTTAGCTAGGCCTTGAATTCTCCATCTTCCTGCCTCAGCCTCCCAAGTGCTGGAATTACACCACCACGCCTGGCTCAAGTCTGGGTTCCACTGCTGGCTGTACAGAGAGGCCTTCGGTGGCCCAGTAAGGAGAAGGACCACTGGCTACTACACGTTTCCGCACGCCATTGTTCTCTTCTTTCCATTCAGGGATAGTTGTTCAACATCCACAAAGCACAGACCTGGATTCCAAAGGCTCAGCTGTGAAGAACACAATTCTGCAGGATTGTGCGACCCACTGGGGGGAGACAAAGTCAACAAGTGTGCAGCACACATTGTGTCAGGCGGCCGGAGTGCTACAGGGCAAAAAAAGAAGGCATGAAGGGGGACTCGAAGTTGGGAGTGCGGCTGTGATTCTGAATCCAGGGGTCAGCAAAGGCTCCCTGTGATGTGACATGGTGAGAAGGGGATGGGGACCCAGGGGGAGATGGACGGATCACAGGGAGAGCTATTCTGAGAGCAGAATGCAATCAATCAATAATCCAATAACTAAATAAATACAACAAAGCTTGATTGGTGGATAACATAGAGTAAGAGGCAGAGAATCAGGTCAGACCAGGAAAGTGGCTGGGTAGCGGGGCCCAGAACTCAGTAAAGGCCACTCTGGGGCCCTGTCACACCTGCACCATCACTCCATGGGTGTCCGCAGAAGAGGCTTGATGTACACTGCAGTCTGTGACTAGCCCAGGGACATATTTTATTTCCTTTCTACTTTCTCCAATATATAGGAGACCTGAAGCTTCCCTGGAACCATTCCAACATCTACAACACATTGTAACAACTCATACAGAGGAGTAAGGTCCTCTATATT